TCTTAGTCTGACCCGTCACCCAGGACCTGTTTGCCTTGGGAGACCCTACCAGGGACATATAGCCCCCGACAACATAGCTCCTAGGATCACTCAGGTACTCAAACCCCTCCACCACAATAAGGTGGCGGTTCAAGGAGGGGGAAAAGTAGGATAGATGCCAGATAATTTGCAGTGCCCACAGGAGAGCAGTGTAAAGCGAGCAGATCGATGCCAGAGCCACAGGCACAATACAACAAAGGAAAGTAGGATAGATGCCAAATAATTTGCAGTGCCCACAGGAGAGCAGTGTAAAGCGAGCAGATCGATGCCAAAGCCACAGGCACAATACAACAAAGGGGGATACAGGAGAGATGTCCTGGTGGTGTGTCAGTTTAGGACGCATACCACATGGTCAGTCTATGGTGGGATTAAGCCCAATTTGTAACCCCTTCCTTCTTCTGTATTTCCTTAAAGGTGCTACATGTAGCAGTTTTTTATATTTTTTGAAAATTGTATGAAAAACAAAAATCATTGGGACAATTGGCAGCTTCTCATACATTTGTCTTTGTTTTTGGCTGTACTTTAGAGGACATATGTGTTGGACGTGATTTTTTCTATTGGCCATGGTCAGATGCCTTAAAAGATTTAGCTCCATCCATGCTGGAAAACAATGCTTTTTTTCTGTTTTTCAAGCCAGCTAATTTCCTCCAAAATTCAACAAGATGAAAGACACAGAAAGGCATTATTCTCTCTCTCATGGTCTTAGTAAGACACTAAATGAGCAAGGTGGATGGATTCCACAGAAGTCTGAGTGAAGTAAACGGGGTATCTGTGAGACATCTTTCTGTTCCTGAAAATCTCTTGATTCGCTCAACATGTTTAATAAATTGTACAATATGTTCAAACATTCGATACATCCTGTCAAGAGCTAACATTGCCTCATACAACCTTGGACTTTGAGAACTCCGGTTTCATTTCTGACCTTCATCCAGTATCTTCCCTGTCACTCTAGGCATCAATAGAGCTAAAACACACTATAAAAGAAAAAGAGTAACCCTCAGACTGAGCTCATCAGATCATATGTGACAGTTGATGATCAGTCAGTACATCTACTTCAAAGGCTTGTGTTTCTCTTCCAGAGCAATGGTAATGCTGCCACCAAGACAGAAGAAAAAGTCAACACCTGACTTCTAACCTTCTGGAAAAGTTAACCTTTTAGTAGCCTGACTGACATTCCAGCTCAGTCTGTGAGGATTACATATAGAAACTGGCTAATCTGAGAAAATCTGGGATGAGCAGTGAGATATAAATTAACAGGAAGACGGTGGATCTGTAAAACATTTTGACTGGAGCTGGAAGGTCACTTCAACAGTAGATAACACCAAAAATGGCAGAGATGAACTAATTTAGAGGTCCTGACCCAAAGGCCGATTATTTTATTACTAAAATAAAATTTAATGTAATCCATTGTATCTTACACCCTCTCACATGAGAAAGAAAATAGCTGTTCCATAAAACATAAAACAACTACCAAAAACTTCTTCCATGAAAGAAGTTTATTTTTAGAGTGTAAACAAAAATGTAATTAACAACTTTTTGCAAACATTCAATCCCTCTGTATAGCAACACAGAAGATTAATTTGCCAGTGTGGTAGATATGTAGCTTTACAAGTTGAGTCCCAATTTTGTGACTTAATTAAAAATGCCTTATTAAATCTGTTTATGTACTGCAGGTGTAAAAACAAAAGGCCCCACACATTAGTATATTTGCTCCATTTACCTAATAAGAGGGGAAGTGAAACAAATAAATAAGTGCCAAAAGGTTGATGTGTTGATTATGCAGCATGCCATTAAACATGACAACACTCATGTCATCAGTCTTACCTGTAAGGTTGCGCAGGCCCAGCTGTCTCAGGCCGTAGTAACCATCCCGTCTGTAGTTGAGAAAAATGGCCAGGGCGTAGCGACCCTCATACAGTTTGGTGCCCCGGATGATGCGTAGGTTCTCCAGTGGCAGGTAGTCAAACTGGTTTAGAGCCACCAACACGTAGCCAGTCACCTCTCTGATAGACTAACAGAAGAAAGAAAGGAGTATTTTTAAATGCATGGTGAGGCTAGCATTTGTTGGCTTCAGGTTTTGAAAAAGAAACTGCCATAATCATGACCTGGCTAAAGCGTGGATACCTGAACTGAGCCTGACGGGACCCATCAGTTACCTGGGGGTTCAGGTTGGGTTTAGACAAAAATTTAGAACTCATGTTTGGGTCCATCTCAGGTTTGGACTCGTAGGCTAGATGGCTGGAGCACTCAAATGTCTGCTTCATTTAACGATAAGGGGAACAACACCATAGAAACTCAACTGTGTCGGGCTAAGGTCGGGTTCGGACGTTATATACTATAAGCTTGTCAGGTCTGGGTTGGATGCCACACTCTCGGACATGGGTCTGGTTCGAAGAGAAAAATGTGGCTTGATCCATTATCTAAACCTGATCCATGTGAATATATTGCAGAAAGCAAGAATTTCAAATATGCTGAATGTAATCTGGGTATTAGCAGAATTATACATTATGGACATCCTTGTCTGGGGATAGTGTTGGGGAAAAAAGACCTAAATCTTCTAGTAGAACGCAACTGTACTATAACTGATCCCAGTTCAAAGGTTGGTGTGGTTGGTTGCAGGTGAATTTTATTTCAAAGCCTATAGCCATGTCTGACTCATGCTATACACATAAGGAGATAATGCATTCTGCTCATCTGTGTGCTCATTGCACAGAGCAAGTTATTTGCATTTTGAAATGTTGAGCTCATGAAAAATTCGGACATACTTTCGAAAATGATTAAAGTGTCAGCTCAACTGGAGATTGACTACATTTCTCCTCTGACTAGCCCATCAGCTGTTCTTCAAGGCCTGGGAAGCCATGGCACTCGCAAATATGATGTTGTAGAGTCAATAAACAATAACAGTTTAAAAAAAATCATGTGTGATTGTATTCCAATTATTTGATATGATTTTTTGTTGTATATGTTGTTGGCGTCATATCTCAGTGAGGTGTGGTTTAATTCTTCAAACATAAAAGAAAGAAGAAAATAAATATATAATTTAGCCTTGGTTTAAGTTGACTAGACTTGGCTGAAAGAAACACACATAATATTCAGAAAAGAGAGCTCCAGTGTGCTGAGTGCCTTGCTGAAGAGCATGGCAGTCCTCAACTATGTGCATCAGCTGACCTTCTCAAAAGTAACTAAAATTTTGTCAGATTAGCTCCGTGTTATGCACTTGATGAGGCAAATTAAGTCAACTGCAAAGTCAGGCGGAACGATGGGGCCAAGGCAAGAACGTCTTGTAATTCTACAAAAAAGTGTTTGTTCCGGGGTCACTGCAAAACAAACACACTGAAGACTTTAGAGTTAAAGGTCATGGACACCCAGCCTTACAGCGGAAAGCTAAGAAAAAATCCTTTTAGCTGACAGGGCTATGCCAGCCAATCGCATCTTCACATACAGCATCATGATCAGATCCTCAGACTTGTATGAGCGTGTGTGTGTCTTCTATACCACAACATATTGTCTTGTTTCTACAACTCCACCTCTGTGGCCATGCAATTTTCATCTGTTACTCAAACAGCAGCACAGCCTTACTTACACACAGAGAAACTCACAAATACAGACACAACAGCTGGTAAATGCAGCACTAGCCCATTTTACTGACCAGCATTGACAAGCCTAACTAGAACACTACAAAATGAAACTTTTTACAAGTTTCAGCACAATGCGGGCTTTGTTTGCAGCAGTTGGCAGATGCAAAATATATTCCTCTGGCCTTTTCTTATGATTGTTTCCTAATTATATCCCCATTTTCTCCTCAGTTTATTCAACAGCTGCTTTACACCTGCTGGCCCAGGGTCTCACCAAGAGGGCTTAATACATGCAAATTCACATAATCTCCCTATATGGCTTCCAGCATCAAAGAACAACCAGCTGGAGTCGCTATTTGGCTACAAGGGCATGATGCCCCACTGCCTTACCACAGGGAAGCACAAATATTTTACATTTAAATCTTGTATATGAGTTCAAAGCAGGCCCAAACATGCTTGAGCATTGACATGCCCTCATGTTCTGCAGAAAACATTAAATCCTCTCATTTAAGAGCACTTTAAAAAAAATCCAGCCACAGGGCATCATGGGAAAAGGTCCTCAAGCAATGAGCAACTACAGAGACATCTTAATAACCATAGACAGGCCAGTAATGATGGGGATGATTGGTTAGGAGGGAGTGAGGGAATGAGTAATGCAAGGTTTGATTGGCTCCTGACCCCTGGGGGACACTAGTGGAGACTGACAGTTAGGACACAGCATGTGGAGTGCCTGCATTTCAGGATAATAGTAGATTAGTTTCTATACTGGGCACTCAGCAAACACTGCACACCTGCCAAGTTGGCCTATTGTAGCACTAACACAATAAGAAGGAAACAGACAGTGGAGGTACTTATTAGCAAAATTACAATGTGTCAATCACCTGGAGAGAGAAAGAACAACATAATAAAAGAGCAGTAGAATCCATTTCAACAGAGGCTTTGATTAGCATACTTATTGCAAAAAGGATTTCTATTGTGAGGTGCTCCACTGCCTGTCAAAAATCCCTTAGTGAAATCATTTTTTGTCATGTTTGTTAGACACTTAGTAAGTTGTGCAACTTTATGCAACTCTATGCAACTTGTGACTCAGCCTCCAAAAACAACATGCACAGAACAGGCTGTCATCATTGGGGAGTTTGTTGGTCAGGCCCCTGTGGTCAGGAATCATGCTGTTTCATCACTGTGACCCCTATGTGACCCTGTGTTTGCTGTTGGGGGCCGACAAGCTCGCCCTCCTATCGTTAGCTTCAGCGAAACCGTCAGGTGTCTGCCCAGCGGCACTGTGATTGGGAGCAGGGGAGGCTGCTCTGCAACCCGACCCAGCTGTAGGCATGCACTCAGCTGCTGGCAGACTCCACAGTGATTCCACTGTGCACCCTTCTCCCAGCCAGCCTCCGGGACCTGCTGGTAAAACCAAAGAAAAACTGTTTCCCTGTTGCTTAGCAACCGCAGGAAAGCCTTTCAGAGAGAGTGAAGAGGGAGAGAGCGAGCAGAAGAAAAAAAAAACTTAGAAAGGTTTTTTTTTGTTATAATTCACCTAATTAAATTAAAGGATTACGCTGCCCTTTCTCGCTAATTTTCTTTTGCTTAGACACTACTTAATTTCCTTCCATTGCATAAATTGTTTTCTTCTGAACGCTCTCTTAATCAATATTTATCTGCATTCCTCTGTGCTAAAGGAGAGAGGAAGCAGTGCGACAAGGAGCAGGGAGGCCCGGAGGGAAGTAAACTCGTGCACCTGCATTTCCCCTCTTGTTTCATCAACTGTGCTCTGTTTCAGAAACACAAACTCAGAAGCTGAATGATGCTACTTGGAGAAGCTGCCCACTGCTGCCTTGTAGGCGATGTGCTTTGACTTAACAAGGTGGACGGTGGGCAGATAAACTGATGTTTTTTTTTTCCCTTGTATTTTCTCACAAAATATACACTTAACAAGGTGAGTGGGAGGACTAATTTGTTACAACAAGGAGCATGAAGCCTTAATTGCTCACACAGAGACATAGGCTTACAACACATCTCCTTCATCAACCCCCTAAAATGAGCCTGCTGGTGACATCAGAGGTAAAAAAAAGTGATTAAATTGGCTCCAAAAATTGAAAAAAAACAACAACAAAAAAAACAATCTTTACACAGTCTGGCACAATCCCAGGTCATTATTTTAGATACCAATTCAGCTGAATCTTTTGATTCCAGTCTGATGGATCAGAGCGTTTCTCTGTTGTGAGAGCCATAAAGGGTTTGTGCAGAATTTCTTCTCTATTACACATCATCTGAACATGCATACAAGCCTTGTATATTCTGATAACCCCCACCTACACAGAAAAAAGAAACAGTGCCACAGGGCGCCGACGAGACTAAGTCGACCCAGGTCAACTACCCATAATGCACTGCAAGTTTAACATTTCCACTAGCATTTTTCTCCATCAGTTGCAGGCAATTAGTGGCCTAGTGTGGAGTTCTCAGTCAAACAGAATCCTATGCGGTCCCAACAGGCTTGTTTCCTCTGTTCGTTCAGTGTACCTCTGGGCAAAATGTGAATTTCACATATTGGTAAATTGCTCTTTGTATCTTCTGGGAGACACTGCATCGAGGCCAAGGCGGGGAAGCAAAAGGGGCTTTAGTTACTATACACAACATAATCATGATAGAAGTTGCCTGTGATGTCTTGGAAACAAAAATTGCTTGATATGAGGCAGAGGTGCTGTGCTCAGGCACCTTCAACCACTCTAGACATGTGGAAATGTTTTCAGTGTTGCAGCACAGAGATGCAGCCATTGAGTTTGCACAGCACCACAGAGTAACTCTAATCTGGGATGAATATTCAAACCAGTATTGAAATGAACCAACAGTTCTTTAGCAAACTACACAATTTTATCAGTTAATGAATCAAGGCCTGTTCTGTTGGCACAAACAGCTGTAAAAGTGAATACTAAAGCTGGATTAAAAATAAAATAATAAAGTGACTACTCACAAACATTCAGGGACCTCTCCAATTTTAACTCAAAGATGATGCAATACTCCTATTCAGGTCTCTAGTTTTAAGTATTCTGTTTTTATTCCTATTTATCTCAATTCAACGAACATTCCTTTGTTGTCTGCATTGTGTACTGTCTGTTTATACTGCTTTTTCTGCATTGTTTGCACTGGTTGTTGATATTAATACTGCTGTTTTGTTATATTACACAGCCTTATGCTGGCTTACTGTTTTGCACATTGAGAGCCGATGCACCTGAGTCAAATTCCTCATGTGTTCGTCACATCTGGCCAATAAAACTGATTCTGATTCTGATTATGTCTGCTAATCTAGCAACATGCATAACCATTTTAGACAAAGAAGCCTATATGTCTAAAATATTTTATTCATCCAAATTACTTTGCACATAACCAGGAAACTTTAACAATGCAGGCAATATATTTGCATACACATTTCTCCAGT